ATCAACATCTTCTGATACCTTGATCTTATTCCCTGTCCTTCTCTTTATCCTCTCCCCAAATACACCTCTTTACACTTGTTCTGAACTCTCTGTAACCCCTTGCATGCTAGCGGCACTCCTGCCTTGCTTGGGATGAAATTCTTAAAAAGAAAAGTCATTTAAAAATTTAGTAGAACTGGAATTTAAAATATAGCTGCTTTTGTGACTTGTAGCCCATTCAGGTAATTCTGGTTGGAAATCTATACAGTTGACAAAATGGCAGGAAAAGAGTTAAACCTGAAGTGACCGGTTATTGTCATTTATTGTATTTATATAGCTTTAAATTCTTTGTGCTTTATTGTTCAAGAAATCGATATGTTTTGTTCAACAGTGACTTAACTCTTTCACCACTTCTCAAGCCGATCTCACTTACGAAAATAACAATGAAAAAAGAAGCCGTTTTTCAATTATGGCAGCTCACATTTTTTCTTAAGAAACTAATCAATTTAATTTTATTGACCAGAAAAAAATAATATATGCTGTGTATGGGAGTGTGTGTGTGTGTGTGTGTGTGTGTGCGTAAAATGAAGAATTCAATTAAATAAAGTGAAAAAAAGAAAAAGGAAAAAAATAACACATGAAAAAGAAAAGTATGTTAAATTAAAGCAAGGCTAACGAGGCACACTTAACAAGGAGATGCAAGAACTAATTAGTAAATTTTCCTTGTAAGATTTTTAAAGAGCACTAAAACTCCTGCATGTTCGACTGCCATGCGTGAAGAACACGTAAAATTGAAATCCATCGTTAACATCTGTTAAGTTAATTGGTGTAATTAAATAATTAGACATGTCAAGCAATTAGCGTCCTAATGAGAGAGAATAAAAGAACAGAAGAGAAAAAGAAAATGTGTACAAAGCAAAGATATCTCAAATCTTCCAAAATACTCTTTTTAAAAAGAAAAAGGAAATTATCATTGCTTTTGTTAATTAACTAGAATTAATTAAGAATTTTACTTTTACTTTTTGCTTCTGTTTTTTTATCAACATTTCTAAAAGAAATTTATTGAATTTTATTTTCTTCATTTCTTGAGAATGAAGTAAAAAATAAAATGTGTGTATACATATGTGAAGATGTGTATCTGTGAATATGTGCAAATGAAAACGAATATGCACCTAGAGTGAATATTATTGTGCCCATCAGCATACACCTACGCACACACCTCTTTTTGTGTCTGCTTGGGTAGAAATCTGAATTATAAAAACCTTTGAAATAATCAGTACACTTTGTATGACATTTTACACATAAACACTTGCAAAATGAACTAATTATTGGATTGAAGATGCATAAAGATTATTATAACAGTTGTTTATTGACAAGGAAAAATTGATTTTTTTTTTCAAAGTTTTTTTTGTACCTCCTCTGATGTTCTCTATAAAGAAATTCACTGATTTTTAACTCTTTTAAATAAACAAATAAATACACGAACATTAGATATAGAACTGAAGTTTAGCTTCCTTGTTACACCTGTATTATCACTGGATTTCTAAGAAAGAGTTGAAATTTCCAGGACCCATAATCAGGAAACAAGGCTTGGAGAATTTAATATTCACAGGAAAGGAGATTTAGAAGGAAATAGTGAGTAACCTACCTAACAAGTTTTTGTGATGAAATAGAAGTGCAGGAACAAAGAGGAATGGTTGAAGTGTCAAATGTTGTGTTGAGTTGCAAAGAACAGGAAGTTGTTGAGAGCCATAATCACCCATGTCCTGAACTGACATGGCACATAGAAGAAGATGATGACTGTCATCTGTTGTCCTCATCTTTATTGTCATATTTATGACGTTTCAACTGTAGTATGCATCGACCTTCTTTAAGTGATATGTGTTAGAATTTGGAACCGAACCCTTTATTTTGTCCACTGGGGTAGATTGTTCTAGTTCCACATGCCATGCCTTTTGTGGATATCTCAGTTTCAGTTATTTCCCTTTAGTAACTCAAATCTCCAAGTTTCTGTTCACATCTGTTGTGGCCAGGCATTAAACTCACAACTCAAGTCACTGGATTACTTCAACCAATGCTTTTATTCACTGGGCCAAGTGGAAAAAAATAAATGAATCAGTTCAAAAATTCCAACATATATCACCTGAAGAAGGCTGGAGCATACAATAACTGAGATGTTATGAATAAGACAATAAAGAATTAGTGTAAACAGTTACAATACCCCCCCCCAATAGACAGATAAATATATATATATTTATATGTATATATATATATATATATATAGGTAGCATATTTTAATTCAAACAGGTTTGGTTAAATAATTTAGACATGTTTCATGTAGTTTCAATATCATCAGAGACCATCTTCAGGGGTTTAAGTCATCTGTGAGTATGTATATGCGTTTCTGTGAATTTAAACCATTTCAGCTGTTCACTTTTGCAGCATTCTAGATTTCAAAGTTCATAGTTCACATGTTCTTTTGGGTTTCTTTCAATGTAAGGGGAGTAACTGTTTTGTTTTTGTTCATATGTATATAATAATTTTTTTGTCATAAGCATTTAATGACTTTGTTGCTATACTCATAGTTGACTGTATTTATTTTGGATTTTAACTCTCTTATATAAAGGGCTTCAAAGGAACACTCATGCCCACACTCACAGATTAGACATATATTAGTTGAAAATACATCTATATTACATAAAAACAATAACAAGCAAAAACTAAAAATCCTTGAGCTCTTTATATAAGTGAGTTAAAACCCAAAATAAATCAAGTCAGCTATGAGTATAGTAAGTCCTTGAATGCTTATGAAAAAAAAAAAATTATGTACATATAAACAAAGACAAAAATGTTCTTTGTTTTTTGCTTTATTTTTTTTCTTTAGCCTTCTTGAAATTTACAAATTTTAGCTCTGTTCAGTAAAAAGCGAGAAAAAAAACTGTTTCTATGTAATGCAGAGGATGGAAATGTAATCAGGAAACTACCCCTTAATATAACCCTCTACCTTGAGTGGCCCCCGGGCCTTGTACAGTGTGAAGCTTTAAAAAAAAAAAAAAAAAAAATCTTGCAGGTAAGGAGGGCTTGCTCAACTTGAAACCAAATATTCAGTCTTAGGTTTTCACCTCAATTCAAATACAGTGTAACCCGGATATAAGAGAGTTGTTGGGACTGGAGAAGAAGTCTCTTATATTTGGGTTTGGTCTATTTTATATACATTAACACAGGCTCTAATTTGGGACCAGAGAAAATCTCTCTTATATCCGGGTTACACTGTATCACCATTACTACTGATGAGAAAGCTCAGACCTCACAGTAGAGACTTCAGCTATTTTTCATTCAATAAGTTTTTCAATTTATTTTCCTTTTATTCATAGCCTTTTTCTCATTTACTTTATGTTATTTCTATTTTCTTTTCCTTCTTCACTCTTGTAAATATTCTTCCTTACATTTTCCCCTGCTTGTTTATTCTTTCTTTGTTAATATTTTATTATTTAAAAACACCTTTTTTTTCTCTACCTTCCTTCCTTGCATTTCTTTAATTCTTTCCTTCCCTTCTCTTTTTTTTTTTTTTGTCATTGTCTTTCTTTTTCTGCCATTGTTCATTCCTTGTTTCATTTTTTTCCACTTCATATTTTTATTTGTATTTACTTTCAGGCATTCATTCTTTGCTTCTTTCCTTTATTCTCTATATTTTATTTACATTTTCTTTTTATTCTTTCTTTTTCCTTCAATTTTCTTTTCTTTTTCATTTAAATCTTTTTTTACTTTTAGGTTCTTTACAAATTTTTCCTTTCCCTTTTTCCTTTTTTCTTTTCATTTTTTTCTGTTTTTTTTTCTCAACACATTAGACTGTGAGTGATGAGTTTTTCGACATAATTGTATTTGTAAATGCATAATTTGTGAGGTCTGGAATCCTTTAAAACAATAATCCTGTTTGTTCACCAAACTGAAGGTTGACTATTCAATCTTTAAATATGTGACATGAACCATGTTTAGAAAAAGAATCAGTTCCACAAGACAGAGCCCACACATGGAGTTATGAACTTGCTCTTTATCATAAGAAGAATAGCAAATAAAAGTAGAAAGAAAGAAAATACCCAAACAAAATTTAATGAAATATTGTAAAGGTGCCAAGCAGAAAAGAAAGAGAATAAGAAAGAGAATAAGAAAGAAAAGAAAAATAAACAAAGAATAAAAAAATTCAGGAGAAATATGGAGAAAAAGAGGAAAATTAGAAAATATTCAAACATATAAAAATTAAAGGAAAAAAATAAAGAAAATGTAACACTTGGTATTGCAAAAATAATAAAATCAAAAGAAAGATTTTAAAATAAATTTGAAGAATAAAGAACAAGGGAAAGGATTTACAAAAAATTCAAATAATATAAAAAGTGAAATCATGAAAGATAGAAGGAAGTTAGGAATAATAAAAAAAAAACTGACAACCCGAAAAATACAATGAAAAACTAAAACTGAAGATATAAAATAGAAAAAAAAAGTAAAGATGAAATATGAATAAGTCTAGAAAAAATAAAAAGTAATAATAAAAATTTAACTGAAAGAAAGAGATAAACAATTTTGGGGAAAAGTTTTGGGGATCAAAAAACAAAACAAAAAAAGTAAAGAATATGAAGAAAGAGAGGGCCATTGAAAAATAATGAATAAAAACAAAAAATAAAATCGGAAAAATAAATGTCTTGTTAAAAACTGAGTAATAAATATAAAAAATAGCAACATAAAATTATATAGAAAAACTGTATGCAAAAGATGATAGACATCTTGCAATATTGAGCCAACTGTTGGTATGTTAAATTCCCTTGGAAAACATTTTATAATTAGCCATTTTTTGTCTAGTCACAATTTATTTTAGATATTTTTCTCTCTTTTAAAAATACTTTTTTTTTCTATTGGCTTCATTGATGTTATCACCGTATATTTGCAGATCCTTGTAAGTTACAATTATATACAGAAGAAATGGTATTCAAGACAGAGCAGCTCAACTACCCATCAAAAAATGGTGCTTAAGTTAAATGGGGATGGAGTTTAAAAAAGGGAAATGTGAAAAATAAAAATGGAACGAGAATGGTTGGAACGTGATTGAAAGAAAGAAAGAAAGAAAATCTAAGGAAATGATAAATAAAGAATAGCAAAAAAAAAAAGAGGAAAGCATTGAAAGAAAGAAGATAAGAAAACTGAACAGTTTGAGATAAAGAAACAAAAAGAAAAAGAAAGATTAGTGTTGGAAGAACAAAGTAAAACAGATATATGAATTGAAAATAAAGCAATAAAAAGATAGAATGGATTTCAGAGTATAAAGGAATATAGGAAAATGCAAAAGGAAAAATTGAAAGAGTGAATAAGACAGAATGGAGAATGAAGTGAATGGAAAGAAGTAAAGAAGAAAAATGGAGATCAGAATAATGGTGTACTAACGTTTTGTCAAAAATAAATAAAAATATGGAAAAAGAATTGAAAAAGAAAAATTATGAAGAATAAAGTATTGAGAGAAAAAGATAGTAAAAGTATAAAAACAGTTTAGAGGGGAAAAAAAATGAAGATTTTAAGACTCAAATGCAAAATAGGATGAGATACAATTTGAAAAAAACAAAATTTTAAAAATTATACAAAATACAAAGTAAAAATAAGAAGTTACTTTTTTTAACCAGTAAAATAAATATGGAAAATATTGTCTCTTTTCTTTCTTTGTCTAACATAATTTATGATTTTATTACTGGCCATTAGTGTTTACTTCACTTGGTGGAAACAAAAATTCTCACCATATTTCTCAAAGAAATACTAATCTGAAGTAACAGACCACCCAACTCAAACATTAAAGCACGAGTTTAACTGCTTGATTTTTTTTGGTTACCAAATTCAGGATAATTTTATTGTATTTTTTGTTAGTTCTCTTTTGTTTTTTTTTAGGGTGGAGCATTTTTTCCTTCCAGGTGGCACTTGAGATGGATGGATTAGTGCAAAGAATGTAATTCTAATTATCTCTTTTCTACTGTTTGGTTTTCTTTTTGTAAGACAATATCCAATAATTACTGGAGGTTTATTTCAGAAATGTTCACAATGTTTGTCAAATGACAAAGTTGAAATACTTTAAGTATAAGTGAATAATATTTATTTCTGAAATAAAACAGAAAATGTGGCACAAGGCCAAAAGTAGGGATGGTCATCAATCAATCTTATATTAAACTTATTCACAATCACTAACCCAAATAAACTATACAATATTTCTTAAACCAAACAACACATTCTTACTTACCATTTTACTACAGTTACCATAATACCTCAAAGTCTCTATGAAGTCCTAACTAGTTCCCATATGTACAATTTATCTGTGGTGGGTGGGGAATAAAAATAACATTTAAAACATGAAATCCCAATGAATATTTACAATGTTTAAAATCCTATGTACAAGAAATTAAACAAAATAGTGTTAGTAATACCCCACTCCCCCATCAATCCTTGAATGCAGCAGAAATATTAGATAACTAGATGAGATTAATATGGGACTTAAATAATTCAAACAAACACCCAACCAAACACTTTCTCAAACACACACTTATCCAAACATATCAACAACTACAAAAGATACACTCATGATTTTCTAAGCATAAGCTTAGATGTAGGACAAGGCCGAAAGTATGGGGCACCCAGTGAGGATCGAACTCACTATACAGTCATAACTGATCTAGCGAGACAAGATTGCTAACCATTACACCATGTCGATGAGCCCAAGAAGTATAAGCAAATATTTTTATTTCACCTCTTGACCTTTCATTTTTATACCTAGCAACAGTTTTTAACAATAATTTCTGATTCTTATTTCTTTTAACTGGCTGTATTTGTAATTTCTTAAAATTAAATTTTTTAGAGTGAGACACCTGTTCCCAGCTTGGCTTTTGAAATTATAAACTTAAATCATAATTCTGTTTGTACCTCATGTGCAGTTGGTATAATGAATAGTGGCTTGGAATGAATATTTTGGAATTAATAGCTTTGGAATATACAGTTGGTATAATGTATGGCTTTGGAATATACAGTTGGTATAATGTATGGCTTTGGAATATACAGTTGGTATAATGTATGGCTTTGGAATATACAGTTGGTATAATGTATGGCTTTGGAATATACAGTTGGTATAATGAATAGTGGCTTACAATGAGAAATCCAAGAGCTGAATTCAAATCTCAGTCAAGTTTGTTACATTCACTTACATGCAAATACCCTTGGGAAAGATATGAAGCCATATCTTTTTTCTCTAAACTATGGGTTAAACAGTAGGACTGGAAAAATCATTGTCATCTAAAAAAAAATTGTTAAGCAATATCAGGTGGATGGACTGACCTACTGGGAACTTGAGAAATTTCTTGGTGGGCCCCAAAGTGATTTGCGTAAAACCTTTACTTTTATAAGATTCCTTTGACTATGTTTTGTGATTAAGTGGGGGGTCCTTTTGACTGGGCTTTTTTACAAGTTTTCCCTGTAGAAATTTTCAATCCATTATGCCAGTGAGAAATATTCACTTACTAAAATAAAAAAAAAGAATTATTCTCTCAATCTAAAATATATTTTGCAAATGGTTAATAAACCATAAAATTCAAATCCATCAATTAATCACTCCTCATTGTTCAAATTATTCCTATAATCTTATAATCCAAAATATGCTTTGGCTTTAAATAACCCACAAAGGGTTGATAAGACATAAAATTCAATCCATCAATCCTCATTGTTCACATGTTCAGTCCTTAGTATTCTTAGTATCTTTCTACAGAACCACATTTCTTTCACTCAGAGTGTAAAGAAAATTCTTATATTTGGGCAGAAGCTGCCAAGTCTACACTTAAATTGCTTGAAAGAGTCCAAAAGCATCTCCAAGTCCTTGTGGGTAACAAATTATTTCCCACCCTCCAACCTCTCTCTCACAGGTGGAATGTGACACACTTCCCAACCTCTCTCTCACAGTGGCAAACTTCTCGCTGATCTATTGCTACTTTCACAGAAAGTGCTCAGATGAACTATGTTCCTTGGTTCCGCTAGGCCTATCCTTCACAGCAAGGATCCACCATGCTACTTACATTATAGCAAACCACCTACATTTCCTTCGTATTCCATTGGTGAGAAGTAAGTTCCACTCAAACTGCTTCATCTTGTGAACAACTGCTCTGTGGAACCAACTCCCAAGAGGATGTTTCCCTGATCAATCCAATCTTAACCTGTCAAGTCTATGACTAACTATTATCTTCCTCTTTTATATGTACAAACTACCTCCTAACATAACTTTCTACTGCAAATGGTCCCCTTGTAAAGAGTAAATCTTACTGTAAAAAAAATAAATAAATAAATTAGCCAGTGTTCAATGCTATATAAAACAGTATATGTGACATAGCAATTCAGCACTTGTCTCTGTTTCGAGCTAAATCTTCTTATCTTTTAATATTTGGTTCAGTCTCCGTAAGCAACCTCCTACAATTCAAAATGTTTCGGATTTAATTGACCCAGAAAGGGTTGATAAGCCATAAAAACAAATCAATCAGCTAATCAACTTTCAGTTAGTAAGTACATGCTTTAAGCTTTGTTGAGCAGTTATCACCACCATAATTGTGAGAAATAATATAATAATATAGTAAATATAATAATATAATATAGTAAATAATATAGTAAATAATAAATAGTATTGTAAGTAAATAATATAGTAAAGCAATGTAGTAAAATAATATAGTAAATATAGTATAAATAATATAGGAAACAATATAAATAATATAGTAAATAATATAGTAATATAGTTAATATGTGCATTCAAGCAGTATAGTGTGTACATACACATTATAATTCACCGAGGCATTAAAACCGTGATTTTGCATTTTTACTATCTATTTAATGTAGATGATCTAATGCAGATAATTAGGTAAAGTGTTGAAAATGTAATTTAGCCATAAAAAGATGAACTTGCATATGCAATTTAAGGTCACTCTTGTATAAAATTTCAATGTGTACAAATAAAAAAAAATAATGAAGAATTTCAGTAGGTTTTGGCTAATGAAATTAATTATGGCTTTTTAATTTCTTGTTAAAATCTAGAATCCATATATATTAAATTATATAAAATTCTGTGATTTACATTAGTCCATCCATCCAACCCTCTAAAATAGCCACACATTGACTGATCAAAACAAAATTTTGGGGAGAAGTGCAAACAGGTAAAGGGGTCCAAAGTACAGTTGGTTTTACTATTGTGCATAACTTAGTACAATAAATTTTCATTCATTTTTTTGAAAAATTAAAAGTTTTATTATTTAACAAACAAAATACTCCCACTATTTTAAAAACAATTTAATGATTAGAATAAATCATTATTTAATAAAAATGCAGTATTGTTTTTTACGGATCTTTAAGTTTTTATATTTATTGGTTTGTGAAACGGAATGAAATGTAGTATTTATAAATCTCATCAAAAAATGTTAATGATAACTTAAACAGTACCGTGAGGATTTTAACACATGTCTAGTATTTAAAACTTTTAAAAAAAGCTGATATTGACTTTTTGTGTGTATATGAAAAAGAGTTACAAATTTCTGTAAACAACTGATTTGTTTTTTCAGGAATTAAAAAAACTGCTGTAAAAATCCTTTTTTTCAAGTAAAGAGGATTTGAATTTCTGTCTCAGCTCCTGATTAGAGTGATAACAAACTTAGAGAGAAGAAAGAAACATTGTCTATGAACGAAGATAAATTATCCTTCCTGATTAACAGAGATTTGATTCCTGTCAAATCTTTGTCACTTAAGATAAGGAGATATTGTTGCTTTATTTAGTCTTGGAAGTTTTGAATTGAGAAGTCTAAATTGCGTTATTGCCAATTCTATCATCAATACGAGAGTATTATCGTTTAGCAGTAGGTTATGTTTTTCTTATGACAAAAAGTATTATTTTTGGCCATTAAAAAGAATTACAAATTAATATTTTTATACTAAGCAAAAATAATCTGAAAGGGATAAATTCTGAATTTCTTTTTTGTTTAATCATTTTTCCCCAAGTAAGGTAATAAAGCCACTAAAGCACAAATAGTTACTGAGTGTGGAAGAATAATAAAAATAAAAAATATTATTAAGGAGTGAGAACAATAAAAGGAGAGGAATCGAAAGGACTGTAGATAATGATTGATATTGCATTTGAATTTTTGAAGATCAAAGTTGGCTGGAAAGTATGGAGACTGAAGGGAGTTTTACAAGTGAGAAGCAGATATAAATTTAGAATCTATTCATGCCTTTATGCAATGAACAAATAAAACTGTAAAATCTGTTTTTGTAATTCATTAAAGGGATGCATAACATTTAAAGAGGGAATGATCCAAGTCTGAAGGTACATTGGAATACTGAAAGTGGCTTCCAAAAGCTAAGTAAAGTATTAAGAAACATGAAAATTTCAGAAAAATATGTCAACTTCTCCAAGCCCCTTTTCCTCATTGTGTCCTAACAATTTCATCTGTCTCTTTCTAAGCATAAGCATTATTTTTGTATCAATTTTCCTTAGAACTTCTTCATTACTCACATGTCCAGTTCCTGGTATTCTCAGCATTCTTCTGTAGAACTACAATACAACTCAAGTCTCTTTTTCATCTTTAACGAGATTGTCCATATAGGAGGATTGATATTACATAGCAAGTCAGCATTCTTTACTTTGTTTCTGTTGAGGAGATTAACAACATTTATTGCTATATTAGAGGACTGATATCACATAATGAGGAAAAGGGGCTTGGTTAATTTTACACTCATAGCACATATTGAAGGCAAGAAGAGGAGAGGAAAATGGCCAGTAACCTACCTAATGTGCTTGTGTAAATGGATGGCAGAACAGGGACAGGGAGGAATAGTAAAAAGACAAATGTTATAAACTAATCTTTATAGTTTTTTATATCAAGTTCTTACATTGAAATCTTTTGCAAATCTGATATTGAATTCCAAAGATTCACAAAGGCGGCATTCCACTCAGACTAATTGTTAGTTGCCAAGGCTCTGTGTGCTACCCTCTGAGTTGATTCCTTGTAGATAAAATTGAACCATTGATTGGAAAGTCTCCTTCATATGTCCAAAACTCTGCCCACTTCGTGGAAATAATCAAAGATGCTCCCATCCTATCCAACCAGATGGTGAACTTAGACGTGATGAGTTTGTTCACCAAGGTACTCATGGAGGAGGCACTCTTAGTCAGAGACAGATTGGCCTCTGACTCATCCCGAGAAAAATGGACCAGTATTCCAATAGATAATCTGATGGTGATGTTGACTTTCTGTACACAAACAACACACTTCGGAATGGGATCACACATATATCAACAGTATGAGGGCTTAGCAATGGGCTCACTTTTATCACCAGTAATGGTGAATATATACATGGAATACTTTGAGGAAATGGCATTAGAATCCATATATCTAAAGCCTACTATGGTTAAGGTATGTAGATGACACCTTCATACTCTGGCCACACCAGGAAGATGTTCAGGTTCTACTGGACAATGTGAACTCAATAAGACCTTTGATACAGTTCACAATGGAGAAAGAGAGTTACAACACACTCGCATTACTGGATGTTCTAATATATTGAACAGAGCATGGGTTCAAGACATTCGTATACTATAAACCAACATTCACTGGATAGTACCTCAATTTCAACTCCCACCATCCATACAGCATAAAGAAAGGGATTGTCCACTGCTTACAACTCCCAGAGACATTAGATAAAGAATTGGTCAGTATAAGTAGCACCCTACAATGCAACAACTACCCTGGGTACATGGCAGCAGCCCCAAAAAACTGGTATAGGCGGGTACAAGAAGAGGAGGACAACAACACTCAGAAAACAGATGTTTTAAGGAAAATGGGAATGAAAAGGACACTTCTTCTTTGGATAAAAAAGAAACTTGAAATTCCTGGGACATGAGGAAAAGACGGCTTGGAAAATTGGACACTCACAGGAAATATGAGTAGCAATGGCAAACCTTATGAGCTTGTGTAAATGGATGGCAGAACATGAACAGAAAAAGATAGGAAGAAGACAGCCGTTGCTTAGTACTACAAGGGATAGGAAGTTGTGGAGAGGCATGATCGCCTACATCCTACAGGGACACAGCACATAAAAGACAACTTCTATATGTCGGTCCTTTCAGGACATTGGTGATCAGGGCTGTCTATATTTAATTTTGTCTTTTTGTTACCTCTCCTAAACCTTGTTCTACTATCCCTTTACTGAACCTTGCTAGGTAGGTTATACATGGTTTTCTTCAGTCTTGCCTTCAATCTATCCTGTGTGTATCATATTTTCCACATCCTCTTTCATCATTATGTTCCCCAGAAATTTTAACTATCTCTTTCTGATTTTAAGTTTAAATGTCTTTTTTGTTACCATTTTCCTTAAAACTTCTTCATTACTCATATATTCTCAACATCCTTCCATAGAACTACATTTCTGTTGCTTAAAGTCTCTTCTTCATTGGGGAGGAGATTGTCCAGCATTCATTGCCATATAAGAGAACTAATGTTACATAACAGTTCAGTTTTCTTATTTTTGTTTCTAGCAATTTCTTTTCCATTTCTTAATACTTTGCTTAGCTTTTGGAAGGCAACTTTCACTCTCCCAATGCACCTTTGGATTTCAGGGTTGCACTTTCCACTCTTTGCTAAAATACTTCCCAGTTATTTAAATTGTACTTGTTTGATTCAGTTAAAAAAAAATGATAAGGGAAACAGTTGTTTTCTTTTACGTGCTGTGTCCCTTCGAACAATAGGTAATCATGGACTCCACACCTCCCTATCCCATGTAGCTCCAAGCAATATTGTACACTGGAAGAAGACTGTAAAATAGATCATCTAAAATGGTCGGGTAAAAATAAAATAAACGATTAATAATGATAAAAGAGATCAACAGCTTTGAACGACTCTAGGAATGATAATGATTCATTTCAAAATTACTGAAGGACTCCAGAATGGAATATTTTCTAAACCCATGCTATTTTTTTAAATCATTTCATTGCAAACAAAGCATGCAAAGGGTTACAGAGCGTGGGAGCAAGAGTAAAAAGGCGTGATAGAGGAAAGGATGAGGAAAAGGACGGGGAATTAGATCAAGGCATCTGAAAATGTCGATTGGCATTGCATTTGAATAATTGAGAATTATAGCTATCAGGGAAGTAAGTAAGAGGAAGGGAGTTCAACAAACAGGAAGTACGAGACATGAAGCTATTGGAGTAGAAGAGACTGCTACATTTAATAGTTTCGACATTGAAAAGGGTGGGACTGAGATGCCAACCTAGTAGCACGTTTAAATTCATACAGTTTGGGAACCAGCGAAAGTAGCTTGTCAGAGCAATCACCATGAAAGTATTTGTAGAAATGACAGAGGGAAGCGACGGCACGTTTGTGAGAAAGTGACTGTAGACGAGATGCCAGATCAGGGCCAATCACATTGCATATCTATCTCTGGATTTTGTTGAGGACCTTAAGACGAAGAGTGGGGGCCTCCAGACCATATAGGGCAGCAGTATTCCATGCAAGGGCGAATGGTTGATTTATAGATTTCACCCCAAGGAAGGTGGGAGTGCCACAAGCACGCAAGGGGTTACAGAGATGGGAACGAGAGTAAAAAGGAGTGAAAAAGGAAAGGATGAAGAGAAGGACGAGGAATTAGATCAAGGCATCTGAAGATGTCGATTAACATTGCATTTGAATTATTGAAGATTATAGCTATTAGGGAAGCAAGTACAGGAAGTACGAGACATGAAGCTATTGGAGTAGAAGAGATGGCTACATTTAACCGTTTTGACATTGAAAAGGGTTGGACTTAGATGCCAACCTAGTAGCACGCTTAAATTCATGCAGTTTGGAAACCAGCGAAAGTAGCTTGTCAGAGCAGTTACCGTGAAAGTATTTGTAGAAAAGACAGAGGGAAGCGGCGATACGTATGTGAGAAAGTGACTGTAGACGAGATGCTAGATCAGGACCAATCACATCCGTCTCTGGATTTTATTGAGGACCTTGAGACGAACAGCGGGAGCTCCAGTATTTTTTCTTCTTCGAGGATGCAAGACCTTTTAGTACATAATTTTCTTGATTAGGCTTGTTTACAGGGTTGACTGATATAGACACAGATGCATATGCAATGAAAACTACAGAAATAAACTACGTTACTCAGGATTCAGGATGATTCGTTGGATTTATCATTGGTGCCCAAAATATCTGTCATCTTTGGGACAAAAAAGAAGTTTTAAAATACCTAAAAGAAAATTTAGCCTGTAAAACTGAAGCAACATAAACCTTAGAGAATTTCTGGCATTGGTAAGGAAAAAGAAATAGTAGACAGAAAGAAAAAAGAAAACAATTTGATGACTAGATTGTTTTCCTTTTGAGGGTAAAAAAACCCAATTAAGAAATAACCTTTTAATGAGTAGGAAAGAAACAATTAAACAATTATTGGCCATTCAGACTGCAAATAAATGATTAAGCTTCTTATGGCTAAGATCAAAGTAAATAAACAGTAAAAAAAAAAGTAGCAGCAGCTTTCCATAATTATCTTTAACTGGTATGATTCCAAATGATTATTTCAAACAAAATGCAAAATGTCATTTATCCATTTCTTTCATTGTTTTAGTTAATCTTTTGGGAATGAAGACACTCCTAACTTTATGGTTCAATACATGAGATATATGTAGAGAGAAGGGAAGATGGGAAAGGCCAGAGATAAAGAAATATAGAAAGTGAGAGAAAAATGTATGTAGAGAAAAGAGAAGATGAAAAGAGAGAGAAAAAAGTATGCAGAGAAGAAAAGATAGGAAAAAAAGAGGGACAGGGATAGAAATGTGTGGAGAGAGAAAAAGTATGCAGAGAGAAAAAAAAGATGGAAAGAGAGAGGGAGAGAGAGAGGGGTGGGGGAAATATATGTAGAGATGATGGAAAGAGAGAGCGTGAGAAATATATGTAGTGACAATGGGAAGATAGACAAATGTATGGAAAGAAAGAGATAAAAATGTATGGAGAAAGAAGAGACGACGGAAACAGAAAATATAAAGAGAGTGACAAAAGTATGTAGAGAGACAAGAAGATGGAAAGAGTGAGAGAAATGTATGTTGAGAGAAGAGAAGATTGAAAAAGAGTGAGAAAAATATTCATAGAAAGGGAAGATGGAACAAGAAAGTAAAAAAGAAGTATATCTTGATAAAAGAGACGGAAAGAGAAAGAGTAGTATGTGTAAAGAGAAAAGAAAATGGAAAGAAAAAAAGAAAACGAAATGCACGGAGAGAGAAGGGAATATGAAAAATACGGAGAAAAAGAAAGGAAGAGAGAAAAATATACATGAAGAGAAGAAGGAAAAGGGAAGAGAAAAATGTATGTAGAGAGGAAAGAGAAAAAAATGGAGAAAAAAAAGAACAGTGAGAAAAATATATGCAGAGAGAAGAGAAGATGAAAAGAGAAAAAAAGAAATACATGGTAAAAAAAAGGGAAGTTAGAAAAAGAAAGTAAATGTCCGTAGATAGAAGATGGGAAAATAGAGAAACAAAGTAAATAAAAATAAATAAATGTAAAGAAAATAGAAAACTGTCAAGGGAATAAATATGGAGAAAAGAGATAAAATGAAAAAGAATGTCGAAGTGAAAAAAGAGAAAGAAAAAAATAGAATTGAAAAGAGGAAACAGAAGATCTACAAGAAAATATGTAGAGAAGAGACAGAGTGAGGAAAAGCAATGTATGTTGAAAGGAAAGAAAAAAAAAGGGGAGAGAAAATATATAATAGAAATAAAAAAAGATAAAAAGTAATATATGTTAGAGGAAGAGAAGACAGAATAAAAAAGAAAATATGTGTAGAGGGAAGAAATTTATGTAGAGAGAAGGGAAGATGAAAAAGAAATATACGCAAAAAAGCAAAGAATAGTGCCAAAATATATGTAAAGAAAAGTGAAGGAAAGAAAAAAATAGTTTTTAAAAATTAGGTCAGCCAATCACGCTACCTTGGTTTCAACCTTTCGGTATCCTCAGGCGATCTGGGCTAAATTTTTAAATTCAAAAGTTCTGCATGTTAAATTTTTATTTTATTTATACGTGTATTGAACACTTTTTAATGGTCTAATTATCTTTTTCCTGGTGTAATTCAACTATGACTAATAACTTTTTTATAATTTCATATATATATATATATATATACATACAGAGATATAGAAGGGAAGATGAAAAGAAGGTGAAAAATAGAGATAAAGGGAAGACAAAAATGAGAAAAAATATATAGAGAGAGAAACAGGAGGGAAGACAAAAAGTAGAAAATAGAGAAAGAAACAGAATGAAAGATAAGAAATAGAAAAATGTAGGTAAAAATGAAGGTAAAACAGAAGAGACAAATGTGGCGAAAAGGGAAGGAAAGACAAGAAAAAATTTATGTATGGAGAAGAGGCGTTAGAGAAAAAAGAAAGATTTTAAGGGAAGAGAAGATAAAGAGAAAAGAAAAAAATAGGTTCAAAAAAAGAGAAAATGAGAATAAGTGATAAAAAGAACAGAGAAGATGTAATAATCAAAAATTAAAAAGAAGACGAAAAAACAAAAAAAAAAAATTATATAAAGAGAACAGAAAGGAAGGCGATGAGAGAAAGTAAATATGAGAAGGGAAGAGGAAAAGAAAGAAAAAAAAATAAATGCATCCAGAAGAAGAGCGGAATACGAACAACAAATATTAAGAGTGAAGAAAAGAAAAATGAAATAAAATAGTGTTTTTTTACAGTGATGGTCACCCTGTACAAGGCTCGGGAGTCACTCGAGGCGGAAGGTTACAGAATAAGCGGCACAGTGTATGTGGCTATGTGGGATGAGGGTGATAACAGTTAATTCTATACTTGAACAGGTTAAGATTGTAGTGATCGAGAAAACACTCCCTTGGAAGTTGGTTCCACAGATCCTAGGTTCGCAGGAAGAATCTACTCGAGTGGAACTTAGGTTTCACAAATTGGAATACGAAGAGAAAGATAGTGGTCCGTTACAATGAGCGTAGCATGGCGGATCTTAACCGTGAAGGTTAGGACTAAGCAATATAGTTCGTCTAAGAGCTTTTCATGGAAATAGCTATGGAGTAGTAAGTGTTTTGCGACGTTTCGTCTGTGTGAAAAGGCTTATAAGGTGGAAAAAAAGAAAGAAATTAAAAGGAAGTGTAAGACTAATTGAATGAAGGAGTGAAATAAATGGGAAGGATATCGTTAAAGAGCAAGAATAAAATTGGATTAGATGAAGAAAGTTAATTTGAATATGAGAAAAAAAAACATTTAAAGTAGTGGGAGCTTCAATTTCATTTTAAATATTGAAACTGTACGTGGCGTAATGGATAGCGGTTCGATTTGAGGAATCTGAGAGCTCTAGTCGGATCCATTACATTCACTGTGCTCTAAGGTATGAATCCACTTCTTCCCTCAGCTATGGGTAAATAGCAATAGTTCTTTCGCCTTGGGTGGCAACCGGTCTAGGAGAAAATAACTCTGATTCAAAAACTGTATGTAGCTCTGACATAATACAACGATTCTTTCTTTAGCTGTATAGTAATACAGCTAAAGAAAGGATCGCTGTCATTGGCTCGATGATCCCAACAGTAGTTGACAAATGATGATGATGAAAACTGTATTCTGTTGTCTAAGATTCCGAGATTAAAAATTGACATTAATAATTTTTGACTATTTCTTTTTTTTTTCTTTTTATCACACCGCTTAGATTGTTCTTACGAATTTATGATCATTAAACAAGCAGCATGGTTAATAAATAATAAAGTACTAGCAAAATTTCAATCTTTGAGAGCCTGACATGAACAGTATTAGGTTATGAATGTTAAGACTTTCTCTGCTGTGGATAAAGAGAGATAAAAATGTATGTAGAAAGAAAATGGAAAGATAGACAAATATATGGAAATAGAGAGATAAAAATGTATGTAGAGAGAAGAGAAAATAGATAGATAAATAGAGAGCGAGACAAATGCTGTCATTACAAAACTCAGTTTTCTCTCGACGTATATATACGCTTTCCGGATACTGTGAAATTTAGGGCCCTAATATAAAGAAGATACTTGAAGCAACAGAAATGTGGTTTTACAAAAGAATGACGAGAATACCATAGACCGAACATATGAACAACGACGAAGTTTTAGAAATAAAAAGTACACTTATACTTAACATCTGGAAGAGAGAGTTGAAATTTCTAGGACATATAATGAGGACAGAAATCTTTGAAAATTTGATACTCACAGGACAGATCAAAGCAACACATAACCTACCCGGCGAGCTTGAGTGAATGGATGGTGGAGCAAGGTTTGGGAGAGATAGCAAAAAAAGACAAAATTTATTAAGCATTACAAAGAACAGGAAATTGAAAAGAGCCATGATCGCCAACGCCCTGAAGTGACATAGTACAATAGAAGTTTTATAAACTAACTGCGCTTAGTGCTATTTCCAATCCAGCTTAGACATATAGTTGTGTCAAGATCCAAATAAGAATTCTATTTTTTTTTTATTGGTCACATGACCTGAGCTAGTAACCACTCTGGTCTTAGTTGAGAAGTCAGTCGGCGCCTCAGATATGAAGGTTAGAGGATGTGTTATTAGGAAGTCTCCCAACTTACCCCTAAAAAAAGAAAACAGGCTTAGAATCACTTCTTTTACGCCTAAGTGGAAAAAAAAAAGGTAGGAGCCATTCCTAACATAGGAAACAATCTTTGCAGTGAGTACTTCTTTTTACTCAATGTCTTGTTCGTGAATTCGCTGTCAGCGTTTTCATAGAATGTATTTCTGGTCAGTAGCAAATGCCTATCCACAGCCCCCCCCCCACACAAAAAATAACCAAAAGATAGGAACCATCCATAACATAGAAAACAATGCAGTGAGTACTTCTTTTTATTCAATGTCTTGATCGTATTTTTACACTTGTGTTTAATGGTAAACGCTACATTGTGTACTCTTTCTGTCAGTACCTTTTTCTGGAGGCTCGTCAAAGGTATCGAGCTGTTACATCCTAACAAAACAATCCAACAGTTGCGTACAATACAACCTGTTTCGTGACGTGTTAAAAGAATTAGAGTCTGTTGAGAATGTTGCTTAGCTTTTAGCCATACTGCAGAGTATCCAATCGAAACCAAAATGTCGGCACCTGTGAGAATTCGCCGTCAACGTTTTCATAGACATGTATTTCCGGTCAATAGCAAATGCCTATTTTCCCAAAAAAACGGGCCAACACAGCCAGGCAACAACACAGCAGTGAAAGTGTTAATCAGCAGACTTCATTCAAATTGACTTGTTTAACAGATAAAGTAAAAACAAAAAACAAAACAGTTGAACATTGAAAAAAAAAATAGATGAAATTTAAAACTTTTTTTTTATATATATATATATAGTGAACATTTACTTTCTGTCTATATTTCTAGATGAGATATTGTGATTATTTTGTTCGAACTAATCATCCATCTTTGTTGCCATATTTTGAGTATGGTAACAAAGATGAGGACACAACAGTCCGACCGAACAGTGTAAAAGAAATTAAAACTAATAAAATACAACTTAGTAATAGAACCGCCTTCATTTTCCCATTTATGATTTTGAAATATTTTAGTTAGAGAACTTAACTGATAAAATTGCTATATTGTGAAAGCTTGTGGAGGTGAAAACTTGGCCTTGTAAAAATATTCAACTCGTTCACAAAAAAAGAGGAAGGAAAACAAGAAAGCAGATAAAGTGTAAAATGAAAATTTTTATATTCCAGAAATTAAGGTATTTTACAAAAATGGTTTGTTTCTCTCTCACTCTTTTCTTATTCGAGTCTTGTTCTCTTATGAAGAGAATTTTTGTACGTTTACAACAAAGCACAATGAAATTACTAGAAAATCGAAGACTACAAAAACAATAAAACAAAAATTATTTTTTTTTTAATTGCTCTTAATACTTCGATATATTCTGTTACCCGGCTGCTACTTGAATTGACTACTTCATGTTGTTTTTTAATAATCTTTTCATAAATAAACGCTTCGCAATAATGTGTTTACCAATGACGGAAGACCGGAGTAAATAAAATAACGACCAAAAGAATACACGCGAATATTTAATAGAAAAATGTTCAGCTTTATTTTAGACCGTGTTTTTGAAATTCGATCTAAACACACACAACCTGGTTTTTTTTTGAAGATTACGTAAATTTCGAATACCTTCACTAAACATTTTCCAGCTTAAAAAAAGCTGGGACTTTTTACTATGTTTGATTATTTTTTACTGATAAATTTTTTTTATAATAGCAATATTTTGAGAAAAATAAAAATTTACACAGTAAATGTGTACACGTTTATTTTTCTCCATAAATTGTTTATTTCAAGTTGTTATCCGCACAGTAGGAATATCGTATCATAATAATAATTAATTTTTAATAAAAAAATGTTTTTATTTACTTTTTTTCTGAAATTGGTTAATCAATCTCATATATTCTAATAATGTAACCATTATAATTTGAATCGAATTTGTTCATTTTACCAAATTTTAAATTCTATAGATTTTTAAAGAAGCGAGTTGGAGAGAAAGCAAACTTTTATAAAAGAGTAACATCTGCAGAACGAAGATAAGGGAGGTAAGTGTGAAAAAAGATTGTTAACTGGGAAGTCAGAAAGTGAAACGGTGGTTAAGGAATTAGAGATTTTTTTAATTGAATACCTTCACTAAACATGCTTAAAAAAAAAGCTGGGACTTTTTTTTGAAATTGTATAATAATAGCAGAAGAGAAGGAAAAATTAATGTAAAAGGGACAAGTAAGAAATAGACTTGATTTAAAAGATAATAATGTATGAGAATGAGGAAATAATAATAATAATAATAATAATGACCAAAGAGAGATATGTAAAAAAAAATGTTTGATTGCAGAGAAATAATGGAGAAAATAGAAGAGGAAAAGAGATGAAGAAAAGGTGAGAACACTGTATAAAAAATGAGCTTTATAAGAAAAACGAAGGTGCCAGTTTTAGCAAGCCGCAAATGTTATTTACTGAGAATAATCGTGTATTATTCTGTAACTTATTGAGATTTTTCAAAACGTTTTTTCAGTATTTAGTAAGTTAATTTGCTGATTCAGCTTGGAAAACGCAACAAATTACATAAAACTTTGGTTAACTGCGTACTTAGAACGATTACATAAATGTCAAACTCAAAACAATCTTATTTTGCTGTAATATTAGTGACATATGGCTATAGAATAAAAAGACACTGTTGATTATTTACACTATCTTACTTGTTGAAATAATGCACTGATTATTACTTGTGTCCCGAGACAATAATTGTAAGTAAAATGATGCACTAAAATACGTAAGGTCTCTGACTATCAGTATCATTTAGAAATATTTTCTACATGAACTACATTTTCACAAAACTAGATCGCTCAGACGATCTTTATAGATTTTCTTCTATGGGGCTCAAATGCAATCTTTAAAATTATTTTGTTCTTCCGTAAGAAAAGAGGGGTTTTAATAATAAAAAAATATTTCGTTCTCATATGAGAAGCGATTTACCTAACCTTCCCACTAAGGCAGAATGTGAACATTTTTTTTAACGTGGGATGCCAATACGCATGTACATATGAGCCAAACTGCACAGGCCCCGCGACCACTGTCACGCTGGCGTCGATATTACACAGACTACATCTTTGGTAGTGCAATGAGGAAGGGCATGCCGCAGCCGTAGGGTCGAAATACCCGGGAACGGGTGCCTTCTCCCGTCTCAAATAAGGAGCGAATAGATAATACGCCCTCATCACGGTCAAAAAGCCGAGAAGAGTTTATTTTTTTAAAGCTCCCACGCGGCTATCGAATTTGGCACAAGGTCGCAAAAACTGCCCACGCCCCACTCAGCACTTCCCCTTTTGGAGAGGCCTCAGGCGTCGGGCAATAAACCCAGCCCCCTACCGAAGCAGAGGTACTGTCTTGGGAGAAATCTTCCTGTGGTTTGGGCTTAAAATTATTTGAATTTGATCATCCACGAGCCAAAAGGTCGAGGAGAGATCGTATGGATAAATTAGCAAATAAATCAAATGGGAATAAAATGCATTTATTGACAATTTTCTACAATTGTTCATATTAAAAAAAATATAATTTTAAAACACTACGGCAATAAATAAGGTAGAATCAAAAGAGAATCGGTCCAAGATACGAGCTAGAGATACTAGAGAATCAAGCTGGTACAGAAATTCAACCATTTGGTTTGTACACTATTTACATTATTCGGACTATTGTCCTCATCTTTGTCGCCATATTTATTACAACGGCCTTCTTCAGGTGGTTGGGATGTCGAACTGAACACTTTATTCACTCACTGGGGTAGGCTGTTCTAGTTCCACGTGCCATGTTTAATGGATGTCAGTTATCTGTTATCTCATGTTAATTCCCTTCTCCAAGTTCTCCACTGCCTTAACCGGGTATTGAACTCACACTCTTTGGGTTGTGTTCCTGAATCTAACCAACGCCTTTATCCACTGTGCCATGTGTGTCACTCACTCTCTCTCTCTCTCCCTCTATCACCCTCTCACTCTCTCTCACAATTAGATAAAAATTATATAGTAATGAATACTGGCCAGTTTCCTTACTCTCGAAATGACAGAGATGTGGTTCTGGAGCCTGATACTAAAAATACTAAAAATTGAACAGGTGAACAATGAGAATTGATTGATTGATTCTTACGGTTTATCAACCCTTTGTGAATTATTTGAAGCTGAAGCATATTGTGGATTGTAAGAATTTTTTTTCACAAGTGAATATTCCATTAACACTTTTTTGAGAATAGGGTTTCTTCAAGATGCAAGTCTCACTATTTAACCAATGGCTGGAAGGAGGAGAATGAATCGTACTTTAAGAAGCGCAAATGCCCCAAAAGATATTTGCGCGTAAGTGAGCAACAAGGAAACTTTAAAGAAAATGGGAACTAAAGAAAAACTTATAATTAAAATCAGAAGGATGTAGTTAAATTTCTGTGACAGAAAATGAGAAAAAGAGTTCAGAGAATTTAAGACTCGCATGTCGTGTTGAAGGCAGTAGGGGGTAGGGAGGCAGACGAAAGCAGTGAGTAACCTTATGAGTCTGTGTTAATTGATAACTGACTTTTTCTACCAGCCTCATTAATATCAAGGATTCATTGAAGTTCTCGATGAAGAGTCAGAAGTGCTTAGAGTTACAAGGGATCGAAAGAAGTTATGAGCCATGCCTGTCCACATCCTGAAAGGGCACGGCACATAAAACTAGTAGTAGTATTACTGTTGCATGACCCCCTCGTTTTGGGGTTCTCTTGGTTGACGGTCTTGAGGCGATCATAATAAAGTTGTCTTCCTCTCTTTCGTCTTCTCCCGGCCGGGTGTCGAAATATTTTGGGGGTCTAGGTATGAAAAGACGTCAACAAAGGGAATTTGAAAACTTAGCTATTACTTTAATTTCCACGTCGATGGACACATATTTAACTAGCCAGTGGGGTTGATGTCTCAAACCCACCGGAGAACAGTTTCCAGACACGATATAACACGTCTACAATCTTCGACGTGTAAAACTTAACTCCCTGAAATCCCTTTCTATCTTTAACATTCCCACACTAGTTTTAACCAATCAAAAACGACTTCCTTTGTTTTCCTGTATCTGACCTCAAAGGTCAAAATGAGGAAGTCGGAGGAGAAATACAATTCCCTAAAAAAATAATAGTTTGCTAGACTATTATTTAACATTATTTTAGGCAACTGCTATTGGTAACCAATAGCAGTTGCCTACCTCCATTGAACACACAAACACAGTATAGAACCTATTTTGTGTCTGTGTTTGCTGTACCTTTGTTGTGCCTCCATCGTGATTTGCTTTAGCATGACAAAAATGTGACAGTTGTTTTAAATATTTTTCCCTACTGTTCCCCGTGAGAAAATAGAACTTTTTTCCTGTTTGAATTTTTGGAATGGGGAGTTATTTAGATTCAGACTAATGTTCTCATATTTGTTGTTATTACCACATTTCAACCGCTTTCTTCATGGGTCAATAGCCTAGAGGATTAACGCGTTGGTTCATGAATTTGGTGGTATACTGTGAGTTCAATCTCTGGTCTGGGTAGGGCCGACAGATTCAATTGGGATAAAGCGAGCAGTAACTGAACTTTACTAAAATAGAGAGAGAAAAAAAAGAGATATCCATAGCCATGCACAGTAGAATGAGAACCTCTTTCTGTAGATTAAATAAAGGGTTCAGTTCGAAATTTCCTGAAATTTACTCGCACCGACACACACTGGAAAAACGATGGAAGTGATAATAGAAAAAGATCAAGACATTAGTCAGAAAATAAACAGGACATTTATTTAACCCCTGAAAAATAATTTGCCCTTTATTTGTCACTCTAATGCTTTTCCTAGGGATTGAACCCATGATATTAATATTTGTAACTTAAAAGAAACCAAGACGAAGTACTATGACAATGAAAGCAAAAGAAGATTGATTAGGGAGAGGAGATAGGCAGAAAGTAAACGGATGAAGAAAGCAAAGAGAATCACAGATTAGAGAGAGAGAGAAAGCTTATAGGAGGAGAAAGAGAGATGGGGATTATAACTTCTGGGTGTAAATATTGTAATACGGAAAAGCATCTTTTTAATTTCACTATTATCAGTCTGTGTCATTGCAAAGTTCATTTGTTCAATCAATTATCTCTACTAATAGTAGGATAATTAGTACAGTTTGTTAATTAGAAATATTAATTACAGGAAGTCGTTTTCCATTGCAACTTTGTTATTTTGTGTTTATTAGCAATTCTCTCGGCTTAAAACTTCCCTTTTTATTGAGTGTTGGTTGCTCCTTTTAATTCATCTCCTTTTTTTCCTTTTTTTTTTTTTTAACGAGTTTTTCTTTTCATTTTTATATCTCATATTTATTTATACTTTCATCTCACTTTTATTATTTTATGTCTCAGTTTTTTTTTCATATGTTGTCTTTCCATTTCCCAGTTTCTTTATACGTGTCTCATTCCTCCTCCTCCCTTTCTAGCAATTTGTTTAAACATTCTCTTTCCTGTCTATTTTTATTTCTCAGTTTCTTTATACGTTTTTCTCTTCTTTGACTTTTCTATTTCCCTATTCTCTTATCCCTTTTTTCTTCTTGTTTTCTATCTCAGTTTCTTTATACATTTCCTTTCCTTGTTTCTTTCTAAGTCTTCCTTCTGGCTTTCTTTTCTTTTTTTTTACTTTCTGGCTTTCTTTTCTTTTCTTTTTTTTTACTTTCTGGCTTTCTTTTCTTTTTTTTTTTTTTCTGGCTTTCTTTTCTTTTCTTTTTTTTTACTTTCTGGCTTTCTTTTCTTTTTTTTTTTTACTTTCTGGCTTTCTTTTCTTTTCTTTTTTTACTTTCTGGCTTTCTTTTCTTTTTTTTTTTTTTCCTTTCTGGCTTTCTTTTCTTTTTCTTTTTTTTCCTTTCTGGCTTTCTTTTCTTTTTCTTTTTTTTTCCTTTCTGGCTTTCTTTTCTTTTCTTTTTTTTTCCTTTCTGGCTTTCTTTTCTTTTCTTTTTTTTTTCCTTTCTGGCTTTCTTTTCTTTTCTTTTTTTTTTCCTTTCTGGCTTTCTTTTCTTTTCTTTTTTTTTTCCTTTCTGGCTTTCTTTTCTTTTCTTTTTTTTTTCCTTTCTGGCTTTTTTTTTTTTTTTTTTTTTCCTTTCTGGCTTTCTTTTCTTTTCTTTTTTTTTCCTTTCTGGCTTTCTTTTCTTTTTTTTTTTTTTCCTTTCTGGCTCTTTTCTTTTTTTTTTTCCTTTCTGGCTTTCTTTTTTTTTTTTTTTTTTCCTTTCTGGCTTTCTTTTCTTTTTTTTTTTTTTTCTTTCTGGCTTTCTTTTCTTTTTTTTTTTTTTTCTTTCTGGCTTTCTTTTCTTTTTTTTTTTTTTCCTTTCTGGCTTTCTTTTCTTTTCTTTTTTTTTTTTCCTTTCTGGCTTTCTTTTCTTTTTTTTTTTTCCTCCTTTCTGGCTTTCTTTTCTTTTTTTCTTCCTTCTTTCTGGCTTTCTTTTTTTTTTTTCCTTCTTTCTGGCTTTCTTTTCTTTTCTTTTTTTTCCTTCTTTCTGGCTTTTTTTTTTTTCCTTCTTTCTGGCTTTCTTTTTTTTTTTCCTTCTTTCTGGCTTTTTTTTTTTTTCCTTCTTTTCTGGCTTTCTTTTTCTTTTTTTTTTCCTTCTTTCTGGCTTTCTTTTCTTTTTTTTTTTTTTTTTTTTTTCTGGCTTTCTTTTCTTTTCTTCCTTCTTTCTTTTCCACCTCTTTTTCTATCAGCCTCATTAATATCAAAGATTCATTGAACTTCTCGATGAACGACGATCATCTGATCCAGACATGCAGTTCATCTGAAGGTCGCATCGAAGCCATGGCAGATTTTACTAAATCATCTATTTTTGCTTTCCCAAATTGGGAAAAACCATTGAAATCTTTATTTAAAAAAAAAAAAAAATATGGTTTATAAAAATAAAATTTATCTTTGAAAAATAGTTTTGTCTTTACACCAATTACCTAGAAAAGACATGAAAAACTTGTCATATTATTGATGATCAATTCAGTTGTCATGAGATATTATGTACTCTTACAAATCACCCTAGATTCGTAAGAAAGGTTATATGCACAAATAAATTTTGTTATTTTCAGCACCTCGACTCTAGACTTTCATAGATAAACTTTTTTTTTTTCAATCCACTCTTCAGGAGGTTTCAGCAATTAACTGCCGTTTTCTTCATTTTTTGTGTTTTATTCATAGTCATTTTGATGATGTACTAGGTTTATGTGCTAGTTGGAATGCTCTTATTATTGGTGTTAGGTTGATTTCCCCCCCTTTTTTATGAGCATACGTAGGTGTCAAATGTCATGGTTATTTCTCCTTTTTCATCATATATATTCATACATGTTTCATTAAATAATATAGACAAGTGTTGTCTATTTGTTTTATGTAAATTCTTTTCATATATATGTGTGTATGTTTCTGTGCAATATAAACTGAAATGAAATACAAATCATCCAAACATTGATTTTATTTTTGTAATACAACGCTCACTACCAATTAGATAGTCACATACAGTGTATGTTTTTTCGGGATCTTATTAACAAGTGCAACCAGACACTCAGAATAGACCTATTTTGATCTCCCGATAATTCGTTCATAGCCGTGAAACTTTTAGCAACGTGTGTACTTGGTACATATTTAATAAGATCCAGAAAAGTGTAACACACACACACACACACACACTTTAATAAAAAAATAATAATAAAAATACCTTCTCTTGATCTCTTTGGTTCTTATCGTCTGTTATAAACGTGCAATCCTTATTTCGTTCAGTCAAAACACTGTGAAAATTAATAAAATTCCATACACTGCTATAGCTTTTTCCAGTACTGATGAAGGTTCCCTTCCTAAACCTTTGTTCTATGTAGTGTAGAACATCTGCATCTTGATTATCATTCTCTCTTTGACTAAGATCCATTTTTTTTAGGTGTTGCTGCTGTTGAAAGTCCTCAAATTCTGTTATCTGGTACCGTTCTTTGTGATACTGTTGTATTGTCGGTCCACATGGTTCGAAGAAGGTTCCTGCAAATAGCGACAGTGTTTGTTCACTGGAAGCCATTTTTAACCATTGATCCGAGAAAATGGTTGTATATCGCTGAGGGTTAAGAAGATATTTCTGAGCGAGTTTGGCACAATACATGGCGCCTTCACATGAAAGTCTTGAACTAATGAGTCTAAGAACCTAACTCAAGTATTTTTTGGTTTTCTACTTCTGATTGAAATTCTTAAAATTAACTTCTGGGAAAATTGGAAAATTATTCAGCTGTTGTTAAAAATGCTTCAGACATTTCTTAAGGAATTGTTGTAAAAAATATTGAAAAATAGAGATGATATTGTGATAATTTATGGATGTTTCCTTGGCTATGTTTGTCAAGAAATATATACCGTATATTTCCACATATAAGACAACTTTTAAATCCCCCCAAAAAAAAAATCACCCTTTAAAATGGAGAATCGTCTACTACTACAATTCTAAAAAAGAAACCTTATGTGAAGTTTGTTGGTAGGCTAACTTCGGCTTTGGTGCAGTAAACAATAACATACACAAAAAAAAAAAAAAAATCACATATCAAATGAACTGATAATAAAAGTTAATAAAACCATATATATTACTCAACTGGCATAACTCCGTAATAAATTGCCTATTCGGAGAATAATTTCGTATCAATGAAATCAACTTGTATCCATGCAAGTTCAGCTGTGAAAATGTAAACATCGAGTTATGATTGCGGTCACGGCAACCTTTATCTTTCGCTACATTTCCAATAATCATCACAGTCGTGTTAATTACAGCAGTAATAACATTTAGGATATCATAATAGTCATTTCTCATTAAAAATACACTATCATTTTGGTGTTAAAAAATTACACAATTTAGGATTACGCACAAGCTTTACTTTTAAAATAATAATCCTTTCTTTTTTGGGGGGGTGAGGGGTCGTTGCAAGAACTTAGGTGATGAAATGTAAACAAAACATTGGTCTCCTTTTTCGGGGGCATGTGTAGGAAAACATTATATAGAATCAGTTTTATTTCCTTTATTTTGAATTTCTATGGATACGGTACCAACATTTCCAACATCTTCATTCAATAAGCAGTCATCAGGTATAGGATAAATTCATGAAAATTTGCTAATTTTTTGACCTCGTCTAAAGGGCATCTTATACGCGGTATCCATTGATTAGAAACTTTATATCTTCTGATACTCCCTTATTGAACAGAAATATCCTTGTTGTTATTATGCACTATAATAATGCAAACTAAAGATTTTGACAGTTTGTCTGATGCAGGGGGAAAAGGAAAGTCCCGGGGTTTGTGTAAAATATATATATAGGATTTAGAGTACACTGTCAGAATATTTTTTTGAAATTTTGAGATTCGATAGTTCGTATTAAATTTAAAGTTTTTT